TATTATTATTATTATTATTATTATTATTATTATTATTATTATTATTATTATTATTATTATTATTATTATTATTATTATTATTATTATTATTATTATTATTATTATCATTATCATTATCATTATCATTAGCATTATCACTATCATTATTATTATTTACCGAAAATACCCATTGCTTATAGGGTATCTGCGCTGCGATGCGCATGTTGCAATTGCAACCTGACACAGCTGCTCGGCAGTAGACACTCGCACTCTTAGTCCAATCTGTATCTGTATCTTGGCCCGTATCTGTATCTGTATCTGTTACTGTATCTGTATATGGAAGCTTGGAGGCCTTCCAAGCACGCACGCAACGCTCATTTTGTGTTCTGTGTTTATTAGCGTCTGTTTATTGAATTGTAAACATTTTAACGCTGCATTTAAATAACGCATTGCCTGACTTTACTGTTCTTCCACTCGCTTTTGTTTTGTTGTTTTTGTGTGTGGGGATCTGTGTAAAAGATTTGGCGTTAAATGCACTTAACCCACTGTTTTCCAACATGTTCACTGTTCTTGGGTGTACTCTAAAATAGATGTGCTTTTTCATTTTATTATATTTCTTCTACGGAATATATCTCTCAATTGATTCTGATTTTTTGATAAATATGATATATTGAGATAAAATGTCACCTGATAGACACCCTATATCATTATCCATTATTGTTAACAACATTTATTCTCTCCTGCTTCAAGCATACATATTTTCAATAATTTCTTGAATTTTAATTTCCTTTTTCAGCATTTTGAAGGTTAGGAAATACCCAAGAAAAATGTTTATATTTTGGAATAGTACATTTTTTAAAAAAATTAAGCCCTACTTAAGTATTTAAATACTTTAAGCATTAGGCGGAAAATATAATGTTTACACTCCTTATGCGTTTATCAAAAATTCAATTGGAAATAATATATTATACTTTAAACGGAATTCAGAAATTCTTAACTGCAAAATAATAAACGTTAAAGGTAAAAAATTAAAATAAATAAATAAGCATGAGTTCATGAGCCTCGAAAGATGTGAAAGAAAACGGATGGCTTTTATTGAATTACGAGCATAAAACAAACACCAAAACCGCGGCCTTTTTTGACAAAGAAGTGAATTTGTGCATTTATACTCTGAATATTTACTTCAGCTCGCATGAATCAAAGTTGAACCCAAAACACACACGGAAGTGTTCTTGGTTAAAACAAATAGAAAGTGCAAAACGATTTTGTCATTACTTAAAATCGGCCAAATACCAAAAGGCATGTAAATGGGGTCGTGTATCTTAAAAATATCGAAGTTCTTATGCGAACTGCTTAATTGTAGCTGGTCACACTTATAGTAGCCAGAGCTAAAAACAAAGCAACACTGATATACTCGTTTCTCTTATGCACATTACAGGATATAAACAGATAATTGCAACCACTGATATTCCCCTTTTTATTTTGCCCATTACAGGGTACAAGCAGAAATGCCTCAGTTAATTGCGACCACTGATACACTCCTTTCTCTAATGCATTCTACAGGGTATAACAATAAGCAGAGCTATTTTAGTTAATGGCGATCACTGATATTCCCCTTTTTCTTTTGCATATTACAGGGTATAAGCGAACTACTTCAGATAATTGCACTTTGGCACACACACGTAACTTAAGCATTCTGTCTATCAGCCGCCTGATGTCTCTCTTTCTCTCGCTCTTCCCTCTCTCTCTCTCTCACACTCTCTCTCTATCTCTCTCTCTCTCTCTCTTACTCTGACTGCCTCTCTCTCACTTTCTTTGTGCGCGTCTTTATCTCTAGCTAAAAGACTAAGAGCTCGCGCGCCGCATCCATAGCTCGTAGCTCGGCTTGTCGTCGTTGCTGTCTTCTTCTTCTTCTCCTCCTCCTCCTCCTCCTTCTTCTGCTTCTTCGTCTTCGTTGGCAAGTGAACGTGCGAAAAGTTAAATGTCTAGAGGAGGGAGATCTTTGCATCCGAGCACTGGGCGCTGTGCTCCGCTGTGCTGGGCTGTTGATTAACACGCTCTGCGAAGCTGGCCGAACCGTTCCCGTTGACGAACTTTCAAAGTTCAATAGGCTATCGGGGACTCGGGCATGCGAATGTGAATGTGAATGTGAACACTTGGACTCGTCGCACATGGGGGACGGCGGTATTAAGCCATAAGGGGCACGGAAAACTTTTGCCCATTTGGCATGGGTCAGCTGCACTCGGCTAATAACGTGCCGGTTCAAAGCCAAAATGGACCATTTCCCAGCCAAATGCGCCAGCATCGTTTCAATTTATACACATGCCACATCTATATAAATATATATATATATATATATTCCGTCTCGGTTCCGAGACGGAATCGTATATTTATTTATATTGTGCATTGGGACACGCTGTGGGCCATTAATTTTGATTGCACACCTCGGAGCTCTGATTGATATTAATGGTATTTAGGAACTTCTGCCGTTGACACAAGAAACCAGACAGTTATATGACACTAAATGGAACATAACATTCCATTGGCCTGTTCTTCAAATATTCGAAAAGTGAAAACAAATTTCGTGCATGGCAGCAGATTGTCTATAAATATAGATCATTTTCGAATTGGAGCATCCCTTAACAGTTTAACAGTTTCCTCATATAATTGGGTTTCATATTATCTATATAGTATATACGAGTCGTATATATTATTTTTTAAACTTATAAACTTTATATATTCAAAAATATGATGTCGAGTTATTTCAAGAATGAACCGCATCGCACTTTCATATCTATACATATCTCTTATAAATTTTTTCTCACATATTTCTTTGCGAGCCGGACATCTTTTGAAACAACCAAGAACCTCTCTAGGCTAACCTAACTTATCTATGGAACTACACACATATCTTTTATTCTTATTGAATAGCATTTTAGTGCTTGATCAGCATCAATAGCCGAGACTTTTATGAATGTGCTCATTTCCGCAATATAAAGCTTTCTTATGTTCTACTTTTGCTTTCTTCAGTTATTTCACAAACTTTCGGATTCTTCAACATTTTTTCAAGCTTCATTCAGCGATGCATGGAACATATATTCATTATCTATTAAACTGTTTTTTCTTTCCATTATCAAAGACGGTAAAATATTTCTTTATATGCACATAAATATGTACTTTATGCTCATTATGAGCCCTAAATTGTACTTACAACTCTGGTATCATAAATGAACATGAAATTGATCCCGAAATGGAGCTGCTTGTCAGCACTTTTTTTCTGTATTTTATTTTATACACTTGCCATGGCTACTCAGATATTCTCATTGAATTTGTAACACATCGAAGGCATAGAGTATACATATTCTTGATCAATATGAAAAGACGATTCGACGTAGTCGTAAAACTATCCACATTGTTTCATCGGAGCACTATATCATAAAGCTGATCGGTCCAAAATAAGTGCTAGTATAATCGAACGTTTTCAGGATATCGTCAGAAAATGTTGGCATTTTCAAGCTATGCTATGTACCTCATATATGAGTCAAATCCTAACAACTTCGTACTACCCCAATATCATATGGCTCTAACGTAAGGTTCTTGTCAGTCGTTCTCAGCGAGTGTATTCAATCTTCAGCTTGCCGAAAATATCCGTTCTTTCATACAGAAATATCAACACTCTTTGAATGCATCACAGCAAAGTTATCAGTTGCAATTCAAGTCTCAGTTTCCGAATCGCTGTTGTAACTGCCAGGAAGGCTGACGGCGGCTGCGGCTGCTGCTCTTGCGTTCTGATAAAAGGATACTTACGCTTATCACTGGCTATCACTTGAGCCACTATCAGCGACTGTCCAAAAACAACGAAAACTCATAACAATTATGTGTGTGTGCGTGTGCGTGTTGATGATGCACCAAGCAGTGTGACCAGATTCAGTCATTTTCTAGCTAAATTTAATTATTATCAGCGACTGTCAGCGGGAAAAAGTTGAGAGTTGAAAGTTGACTAACAAATTTAGATACATTTAGCTATTTAGCATTGAATTTTAGCTACTTTTTTCTAGCGGCAGCTGGTAACACTGGCAAATGTGCTCGTTATGCGCATCTTTTCAATTTGTGGGGGGGGGGGGGGGGGGGGGGGGGGGCGTATCTATTAAGTAAAAGATACTTTTTGTTTGTCATGCTTGATTGTTTCCGGCGCGCATGCGCATGCGCACTCTGGCATTGAAATTTTTCCCTGCACATGTATGTGCGTATGTGTGTGCGTGTGTGCGTGTGTGTGTTTAGGTATGCATATGTCACTGTCACTCTTTGGCTCTGTCGTGGCGTTTTTGTATCGGGTGTCAGAAGGTCGTTCGCTCGATTTACATAAGCACTTCTGTATACGGTTCGAATTCGAGATATTTTGTAAACTAAACGTGAAACTGGCATATGCTTAAACAAATGCATAGTTTAAGAATTCGTAAGAATTTCTAGCCTTAGAATAAGCTAAGAAAGTCAGCTATAAACAACACTCATTATGCTCTCATATCACATTGATTCAGTTTAATATACAATACTTTCAAGGAATAACAATGGCTATATCTAACCGTAATTGGCCGCAACGATAGCATTTTTTTTTTTGACAATTTTCGGGAAAGTTATCTAAAAATTGAGACATACAAGAAATGTTCTTACTAACTTACGAACTGCATACCAAATCTCAAGACTCCGCATCTTATAGTCTCTGAGATTGAGCAAATACTTTATGGAATCGGAAAACAGAATCAGTGACAATATCATTTAATTTTTTTTGGGAAGTTATCCGAGTGTTAGACTTTCTGAATATGTATATACTCTATGAGAGAGCCTGAGTAAAAAAGTCTATTCTCTAAGTTCATACGCATATATACTTGATGGGATCGCAGATGCCAGTCGCATACACCTGCACATTATAGCCATATCTAACGCGCTTTCAAGGGACTCGGGATATTGAATACTTATCTATAATAATATACTCGAAATAAATATTATATTGGGTTACTTACGAGTTGAAGTTGGTAAAATCGTTGCGGGCCTTGTGCAGCGCAATGCTGAAGCCGAACATGGAATTGCTGGCATGCCGATGCCGCACGTAGCTGGGCAGATCGATGTTGTAGGCGTTTGTTGTTGGATGTCTGCTGCAGTGCATCATCATCATGAGCAGCAGCAGCAGGGCCTGTAGGCTACACCATCTGCTGATCATGATGTGGCGTGTGTTGTTTCGTTGTTGTTCTTATTCTTATTGTTATTGTTACTGTGGATGTTGTTGTTGTCGCTTCTTTGCTGGCTTTAGCTTTAGATTTTGTTGTTGTTTTTTTTATATTTTTTTCACAATTTTATTGCATTTTCGTTAATATTGTTGTTGTTGGGCTTGATTGTTGTTTAAGCTGTTGCAATAAATTGAATATTTAGCGTTGCAAATCGCGCATATGGTCAAAACAAACACATACAAACACACACACACGCACATACTCAGGCACGCACCCACACACATGTGTGCACGCATACATACATAGACAAGCTTTATTTATTTTATGATCTCAAGTTGTCTCTTGTCTGCAACCTTGGCCGAAATGACTTGAGAAAACGCTCAGCTCAGCGAAATTAAAAAGCAGCCGCCAGTGGCAAGAATTGAGACAGCACACAAACACAAACACACACACACACACACACAGGCATAGGCACACACATACAATTGAAATCAAGTTTTTGGACAGATTTTTGGCATTTTGTTATATTTTGTGCGATGCTTCGCAGTCACCAAAATTCTTGTTTATTTATGTGCTTAGTTTTTGATTCTTTCATTGGCGCGCTCTCCGCTTGTCACCGCAACAGCAGCAGAAGTAGAAGCAGCAGCAGCAGCAGCGTCAGCATTTGCTCTCAGCAGCAATCGTCGCTGCGGCTGACGTAACGCTGACAAAACGTAGTAGAACAGGTTGCCAAAATCAAATGACAAGCATCGCCGTTTAGTCAAGTTGCAAACCAAACAGCGACTGCGCAGCCGTGGCTGCAAAAATTGCATATGCAATGAAGGTGGCGGCGTCGGCGGCGGCTGCGCTTTAGCGTTGGCGTTGGCGTTGACGTTGACGTTGGCGTTTGATAATGACAGCGCTGCAGCGCAGGTAACATTTGACAAGTGGGCATCATGCACAATTCGCACGTGTGTGTGTATGTGTGTGAGTATTGTGTGTGGGCGCCACAACGACAATTCCAAGCTCATTGATGGTTGCCATTCATTGAGCGGCGGCGAGCAGTCATACAAGCCAAAACAAAACAAAAATACAAATTGCGTTTGCTTTTGTGAAAATATTAAAAATTGAATTGCGGTAAACGCGCCATATGGCCAACGACATTCGATTTAGTACACATACATATGTACATACATGCATACGCATATAGTACATAGGTACACATATATGTATGCATGTATGTACATACATATATTCGATATTAATATGCTGGGCCACGTCTTGCCTGTGCGAGTGTTGACTGTGTGCTAATAAAACCGTTAAAGCAGAGAGCGGGGCATATAATTATTGCAACTTTTGCGCCTCTCTACGCTGTTGGATGCTCTTTTTGGGTTACCGTTAAATGCCGAAAAGCGAAAACAGCGCAGCGTCAGAGAGTAGACAAACGCAGAGCAACACACACACACGCACACACACACATGGGCGCATACAAAGTCAATACACACGATCGCGATCGTCTAAAAATAAATGTGGCTGAGAGTGCGAAAGAGAGAGGGAGCGCTGAGAGAGCACATACGAGAAATGAGGGCCACATGCTAGAATCTAGAATCGGAGATTTCAAAGATACGATGCGTACGCCCAGTAAAGATATATATACATATATGCATACACATGTGTGTGTATGTATATTTAGTAAATATGTATACCTTAGAGCTACTGCATTAGTCAGCGAGACTGTTATAAAAATAAGCATCCTAGCTAAACGCTTCAATTGTAGCCAATTCCACAACCAAATTGATGGGCGTTCAAGGCGTTAAGCCTTCGGTAAACCAACAGCTGAGACAACAAATACTCAAAAAAAAAAAAACAATTTACATGCATATATGTACATATTTACATATGTACATATGTATGCATGTATGTATATTTAAAAAGCAGCACAACAATATGTTTGCTCATAATTAACTGCTAGATCAGGCGTGTGTGTGCAAGTGTGTGTGTGTGTGTGTGTGAAGGTTAAGCTTGAGAGCCAATTTTAAAATATTCAATTAGCTATAACCCATGCCCATTGGAATAGATAACAAATTGAAATCCAAGATTTCTAAATGTCTTGTAAGAATTTAAGAAAAACAATTTTGAAATGTTTAATAATAATTATGGCGATATCCAAAAAACCGTAAACTCTTGTAGCACACATTGATAAAAAAAAGAAGAAAAAAAACGGTATGCATATAGCACAATATGCTTATGCATGTTTAAACAAGCGCGGATCACAGGGTATCTGCTAGTCGCACACGCCGCGCAAAGACTTGTTTTTATATTCTCAAAATATTTTAGCTTATGCGTCACTTTTAAATTATTGCACAAAATTTAAAAAAAAAATATATATTAAAAAAAAACGCGATTGATGTATCAATTAATATAGTATACACACAGTATATACTATATATATATATATGTATGTATGTATTTGTGTGTATGTTATTTAATTTACAGTAAAGATTGTTGTCTTTTAAGAAACTATTCGAGAATGGAGACCGTCGCGTGCCGCGGTTTAAATAATTATTATTATTTGCAATTATTTATTATTATTACGTTTTGTTTGTGTTCTAACACATACGAAGCCTCAGAACGCAGCTGAATTTGAACAACGACTGCGCGAACAAATTCAAAAGAACACAAAAAACTTAAGCTAACATCGATGTGTCTCAGTGTATCTCAGTGTGTATCTCTGTAGCTCTGAGTTTTGTTGTTTTTGTTTTCTTATAGTTTTTTTTTTTTTTCTTTCTGTTTTTGCTGTTTTTGTTGCTTGTAGTGTACCTGTGTTCGCTCGCGCCGCAGTTCCGGCCCCAACAGCGTCGCCTACTCACAAAAAAAAAATAGAAAAAAAAAAATGAACAAAATTACGGCGAGAGAGTTGAGAGCGAAACGATCTTGGAGCAAAAGCTCCAAAGCAAACGGCAATCGCATTGATAGCAAAAGCCAAAGTTTTATTAACTGGCAGGTAAGATGTTTGGGGGCTGCTGTGTGGGCTGCACATGATCATATATGTATAAATACACACACACACACGCACACACACACACACGCGTTGTTGTTGTCTCTCTTTTGCCATGTTGAGTAGGCAGGCAACATTTGTATGTAATTTACGTTAGCCACAGATTTGTTTCTTTTAGACAAACCAAAAAACAACAAAGACTAAGACAAGACCGTGTTGATGTGTCATTTTTGTATAAATTATGCATGATATATACGAAAATTATATATATAGAGCATAGCGCACGCCCACGCTAGCGGAATTGATTCTCAGGTGGTCTAAAAACCAGCGTCAACTTTTGAAAGGTACATATAAATATTTTTTTATATTTAATGCGTTTTTTTTTCTTTCTACTCTCTTTCCCCTTCAAATCGGAATTCTAATTGAAATTCAAGTTCAGTTCACAGTTAAACATTTGTATAAAATATTACGCATACGCAATGCATGCCCGCACAAATATGTAATTGTTCAGAAAAGCAACCACAACAACAACAAGTAATATTTAAATATATCATCTTGTTCAATATATATATTTATATATTTTTATGCATAAGCGATTCTGAGTATTTGTGTAGTTGTACTTGAATTGAATATATTGTATAGTGGGTGGAAGCGGGCTCACAGCTCACTCGCACTAACACACACACGCACACACACACACGAAAAAAAAACAATTAGAACATTTATAACGATATATACGAACAATTAAATGGCATTCAGCTTAGGCAAATGCAAATAATTTTCAATTCTTAAACTGTTCGTGTAACGGTCTTTTGGCTCTTAAACAAACAACAGAGCGCGCGCAGACAACTGTCAGGCTACGCTACACGCGACCGAATAAAGTAAGAGGAAAGCGTAGCATAGTTCATAGTTGGCGGTCAGACGACTGGCCTGCCAGCTGACGGTTTTTAAAGAAACTGGCAACGCTTGGCTGCAAAATGGCAACGCTGTCTGCTGCTGCATTCGATTAACTGGTAGAAATTAGGCGGCTAACCGATAGCTATCATACAATGCATTGGCGCTTCTCATGCAAAAATCATCGTAAGCAAAAAATTAGATCGCGTCCTTAATCAAAGTGTTTGTTTCTCAATTTAACTTAATTGAAATATTACAAATAAGCCAAATAACAATTATCTGAATGAATCTGGAATAAAGTTGAATAATTCAAGTTACGAGAGATGGCAAATATATATATATATCGATAGTAAATATAACAATCGATTTGTTAGCAAACCTCAGCGTTGCCACATTTCGGCTTATCAAACACCTGCTCATCACTAGTCAGGTCTAGAATATTTGCATTTTGTTTTTAGTGCAGTTTGTTGTCCTTTGTTGGGCAAGAACAGTATAAACGAGTAGTAGCAGTGTTTGCAAGTTCGCTTGAAAAGTTAGAAAAAAAGAAAAGAAATAACACCGAAATGGAGAAACAAGTGGATTCAGATAATAATGCAAAGCCCATTATCAAGGAAATTCTAAATCCAGGCAACAAATACATCGAACTAAAGCCTGGCACCAGGGTAAGCAAATAATATGAGGCAACAGTTGTGCTCTCAACTTTATTCCAGGACTTAAACTGGGCCAAGGCCAAACCTGGCCCGAGAAAGTATATGACACAATTTCGATTTGCAGGTAAAATTCCATTTTCAAACACGTCGGGCCAACGATGTGCGAATCGTGGACGATAGCAAGAAAATCAACAAGCCGATGGAGCTGGTGCTGGGCAAGAAATTCAAATTGGAAGTGTGGGAGGTGATAGTGCAGAAAATGTCCCTCAACGAGGTGGCCAAGTTTACCGTACACAAATCGGTAAGCGCACAGCGGGAGCCCTGGAAGGCGCAATGACCCCATTACATATGTATATACATATATATATATATATATATATCTATAATTTCTCTAATTTGCCATACAGCTTTGTGCACAGTATCCGTTCATATCGAAAACGCTGCGCGACATTGGCAAAAAGCCGGAGGAGCGTCGTCATTGCTGCGGCATGACATTGCAGAACGAGGGCATGGGCTACGAGGATCTGGATGAGCTGCTGCAAAGGCCTGTCGATTTGGAGTTCATCATCGAATTAATATCCATTGAGCTGCCCGAAGAGTATGAGAAGGAGCGCTGGCAAATGTCCGATGATGAGAAAATGCTCGCCACGCACACCTTGCGGGAGCGCGGCAATCGTCACTATAAGGCGCACGAGTATGCCGAGGCGGAGATATGTTATCGCGATGCGGTTGGCATGATCGAGCAGCTGATGCTCAAGGAGAAGCCACACGATGACGAGTGGCAGCAGCTGGCCAGCATTAAGACCCCATTGCTACTCAACTACGCCCAGTGCCGTCTGATTGCTGGTGACTATTATGCCGTCATTGAGCACTGCAATGAGGTGCTCACGCTGGATCCGCGCAATGTGAAGGCGCTGTTTCGGCGTGCCAAGGCACATGCGGGCGCATGGAATCCGGCACAGGCACGCCGCGACTTTATCGATGCGCTGGGCTTGGATGGAACACTGAAGTCAACCGTTGCCCGGGAGCTGAAGGCCATTGAGGAGCAGCAGCATGAACGCAACGTTCAGGATCGCATCCATATGCAAAAGCTCTTCTAGAATATAAGTTGCGCTAACATACTGCTCATGCTCCTCGTTTATTGGAGCAGCTATGCGCAGCGTTAACAGTTAGCCAATGCTTTTCTCTTCTGGCTAAAGGGTAGCTATGTCTACTCTTTGGCGATGCACTGCTCCAAAGGGTTTATTATGCTCTGTTTGATTTTTAATCAGCTGCTCTGCTGCTGGACCCTATATAAGACGCTGTTCGTGGCTATCCAGAAACGTCGACGCAGACGTGAACGTGGACGGGCACGATTGCGAGCAAGTGCACGAAAGAGATGGCGACAATGAATTCAAACCATATTTCACTCTCTCTCTCGCTCTCCATCTCTCTCTCCATCTCACTCTCCATTTATACTATTGGCATTTCCATAATATTTTTAAACATTTGGAATTATCATATGAAACGGTTTCTGACAGCCATTAATCCGACTCCTAGACGCGATTCATCAAATACTATGAACGAATATGTATATGTTGTATTTATATGTGTATATTAGAGTATTAATTAATGCTACAAAATTATAATTAATGTTGAAGCCAAAAATGCATTCAATATGCATGCATGTGTATGTATAATTATACAATATATGTGCACTAACTAGTTCTATATAGACTCCTTAGATCTATCTAATTGTATGTATATGTAATACATTTTACCTAATTGTTGTTAACAGACACGTTTTCTTTGTAAAGTTGACGCCTAAAACTGCAACTAAGGAACTATTCGATCTTATTTACTCAAGTAATTGTAACTTAGGTATTAGATTTAAAGATTCGCACCATGGCGAAGTAAACTAATGAGAAACTATACAAATATTATTTCACAAGTAGTTTGTAACTATTTGATTTTCCCCGAAATGTGCAATTGTTCTTAAACAATAACATATGAAAGCGACACGAGCTAGCAAACATTTTAGAAATATGTTTTTTATATATATATATATTTGTCTATATATAAAACTGTTTGTCCTGATTGATGATTAGAGCGAGAAGCTAAAGTTTGTACTGTAATTAACCTATTTAATGTATGTGCATGATAAAACTGAGCTTGCGGAAATTCGCGAAAAAAAAAACAATTGATGTATTAGTTTATTTATCATCCGATCGATTATTTGCAAACATATTTGTGAAAATTAATTTGTTGTTTAGCCCTCCGTGTGATGGAAACTGGGCTCAAAGTCATATCCAAGGATCTTTATAAGAATGCAAAAGCCCTACATAAGAACTTCATGAATACGTGTTACACTGATTTTGGAAATTCCGCCCGCAACAGTGAAAAATTTGTGGATACGGTTGTATACAATTTTGATGCATACCGATCGACTTTAAACTCATTTTCAAAAGCTTTGTGAGAATCTGTTAATATATATATATATTAATAAACAAAATAAAATACAATTATGAATTATATTCAACTTCTCAGGGTCGGGCAACGGGACAATGCTAAAAATCTTAAGCAATGAATAAGGCCCGGGCAAAGCCGGGTTATGCCCGGTAGTCCATTAATAAAATTTTCATGGATTTTGGTAGATAAAAGCAGCAAATGCTGTTAGTGTATTACACATTGCTAAATTTTTTTATTATATATTTTTAATATTTACACAAAGTGTTTTCAGTTCCGAATGGAATAGACTATAATTAGGAGTGGACTACTCAAATACACGAGATCGGCTGAGGGTACAACAACAATTCCGAATAAACCTTTAGAACAAATTCAACACGCGCAATTGGATACACAATATATATATATATATAAAGTTAATGTACACAATAAATACATGAAACGAGTTAAGAGTTAGACTAATAACAAACTATCTTTGGATGCGCAACTGGCGCTGGCCGGAGCACCTAGAGGCGCCACAGGCGATTGCTATTGCCGCCGGCAGCGCCCTCGGCTTCGCCACGCAGCTTGTTGTCATCGGTGCGCCAGACGAACGGCTCGAGGCGATCCTCATCGTCCAGAAAATTATTGATGGCCTCCAGGCTGGCAATATTCTCGTGCAACAGCGAGTTACAGCGGCTCAGCTGCTGCGAAACGCTGCGAATTTTGGCAAAATGTTCCGCATACGAGGCGTACGTCTTCTGCATATCGACAAAGCTGGCGAAGAGCGTCGTTATCGAATTGCTAACCACCTTGGTCCGCTCGACTAGGTGATTCTGTTCGCTGGCCACATGGCTGGCGCATAGATTCAAATGCGTCTGCATGCGGCCGCATATATTAAGCAAATGCTGTGAATGCAGGCGCTCCAGGATTTCCGTATCTCGTGTATATGTCGCCGAACTGATTGACTCGCGCAGCACGGGCAAAAACTGCGGTATGTTGCGCAGACGCAGCAAGTCCGGATCAATGTCATCGTTGATATCACGTGTGCCCGGCTTCACGATCACAATGTTATGGCTGGAGGCCGTCGACTGTGGCCGCTTTGGTTTGATGGCAGTGGTAATGCCACTGGGATGTGATTTTCGTGCCGCGGCACGACTGGCGCTGCTCTGTTGCAGCATGTGGGCGGGCCTGTTGCGGATTTTGGGCGAATCGCCGATGGGTCGATCCGTATACGAGACATAAGGCAGATCTGAGCACACGCTCAGCGGCGGCGAGGGCGGCCGGCTCAGCTCGGAACTAGTGGGCGAGGCAGTATCCGAAATGATTTGCTTGCTGGCAATCACAATGCTGGCTGGTCCATTGCCAGCTCCGTGCGGCAACGTTTGCAGTTGCTGCTGCTGCTGCTGCTGCAGCTGCTGCTGTCTCTGTTGGACGGCGCCGCCTCGGCGTTTGTTTGTGGCCGCCGCTGCGGCCGCCGTTAGAGCCATGGCGCTGCCATCGCTCATGCGAACGGCGCACGCTGCATTGGATGTTTGGTCAACGGTCAGTGCCGGGTCGCGTCTCTCGAAGATCTCATGGCCGTCAGCCTCGATGCGCTGTTGCGAGTGCTCCGCACCCATTGCGCTTCGGCGATGCCACTGCCCTTGTATTGATTTTATTTCAGCAGCGGAACCGTTGTCCGTGCTACAGGCACGCTGGAATGTGTAAACCTATTTTCTCCGTGTCTTTGGGAATTGTTCAAATCCCTTCCTTGACCTTCAATTAATTTAAACAAGCAGCTCTATTTTGTGCTGCAATTTGTTTTTCTTGTTGTTCTTTTCCCTTTGAGTAATTCATATCGAACATATCGATATTCTGAGCCCGATGTTTATATCGATATATCGAACAAAAAATTCTGTTTCATTCCGTTTTCCTTTGAAATCGAATTTCAAAAGTAGCTTTTTTCCGAAATAACTGTATCGGTTGGATGACCTTGTTCGTTCGATTCCATAAGACTTATATATATATAACTATATAACTATATATATAACTAGCAGTACTGATAGTTTTATAGCTAGCTTTACTACGCTCCTAATAAAAAGTAAGACTATATCTTATAAACGAGTTTTTATATGGTTAATGCCAATTTTGGGTACAGATCAAATCTAGCCCGAAATTTCTATATGACAACAGCAACGGATTGCAATATTCTCAGAAGAGCGGGCAAATATGAATGAAAAATGGATGCAAATACAATTACTTGAATGTTTTCCATAGAACTGCTATAGAAAAAAAAAGTTAAATGAAATTACAAATTATGGATAAATCCGAAACAAAAAAAAATATTTTATTGCAGCTTTCAAGCCTGCGACGCTAATCCCATATTATCCTAGAGCTAACAATATAATAATCGATTAAAATAGAGATGAGTGCAGTGCCGCGAGCAATATTCGTTCTGTTTGAAAGAAACGGCAGAAGAAAGAAGTAAGCGAAGAGGAAGAAAAACAAAAATTGTAGCTTGTATTTGAAGATTTCGTCTAGAAACAATTTGTGCGCGACATTCGGAAGGAATATAGAAGTGCAGCAGCAACATAGAAAACCATAAGTACACGATTTTCCTATTGTATTTCTTTACAAACAACAAATCTAACATATATATTTTCTCTATTGCGAACCTAACCTCAAAAGCCCAGCACAAAGCTCGAGAAGATTTTGGTAAACAATAAATAGAGCGATTGTCATGCAAGCACAATACCAAATCCCGCTTTCCACTTCTCCGCAACAACCGAAAGGAGTCAATCTATTGCAATTACACGCTCTGCAGTGGCTGTACGCCCATGCGCAGCAAAATATGCCCGCCAATATACCGGCGCATTGCTGCCACGGAGCCGGACAGCCGCCGTTTAATTACGCCCAGCCAAATATGAATTATTTTGCACCGCCGCACAACGGTCAGGCACAGCAGACGTATTTGAATTTCCAACCGCAGGCCGGAGTTGCCGGCATAAGGCAGCTGTATAATCATGCGCAGAGCGCCAGCCAAAATTATGCCCAACCCTGCGTTCATACGCAGCAGCTGTTCAACATTGGCCAGCCGCCCAGCATGAGCTTTGTGCCGCCGGCGCCGTGCGGCCAAATGCAGCAACCGTTTAGCCCTGGCCAGACCAATCTCTACCAGAGCTGTGCAGTGCAACCGCCATATGGTTATGCCCCGCATAATATGGCCTATATGCCTCCACCGCCGCCGCCGCCGCCGCCGCTGGCGCTGGCGCAGACGCAGTGCGCCCAAATGCAGCAGCCGTACTGTGGTGGAGCCCAAGGCGTGCATTTTATGGCGCCGCCGTGCGGCCAGGATCAGGCCGTGGTCAATACGCTGTGCACCGAACCCGTTGGCAATGTGCCCCTGGTCAACTGCCAGTTCGAGCCGGGGCAGCCGAGTGGCAAACATGTCTATGTGAACGGAGCACTCTATAATACCGAATTGCTGGAACCGCCATTGGATAGCTTCAATTCAGCCGGAGATACGGAATATCCGGCTCATCAATCACTGCAAAACGTGTCGCACGATGAAGAGACCGTCGACACCGAGGATGGTTACGATCCGCTGGACGACGTAAGTAGCCTACGAATGCCGACCCGAGTTGAATATTACGCTTCTCTGTTGCAGGCCATGCCATCGATATATGGTATACGATTCTACAATCCGAACTATGGGCCCGAGGGCGCCATACCGCCGCGATTCAAGAGGAAGATGTACAATCGAAATGCCAACATAAATGCTTGGCTCTCGTCGAAGCAGCCGGAGGGCGGCGTGCCGCAATTTCAGGATCCATGCGCAATGTTTCATGGTCCCAATGAAAATCCAATGGGCCGCAACAATAGGGGCAAACAGGAGCCGGGCCAGGAGCTGAAAGATGCCGCCACAACGGCTGCTCAAAATTTTATCGCCTCCATGTCGCCAAATTCGAGGGCCAAACGCCGTCAGGGACGCAGTCGTCCACGGGGTTTCACACAATCATTTGGGATCGTTGCGCCCATCAAGCGTAACAATTATACGGCCAAGGATAATATGGTGGCGGCCAATAATGTTTTATCCTTGTTCGATAAGAAGCCGTCGCCCATCAGAAAATGGGATGACTTTGATCCGGACAAGGGCAACATCAATGTCGACTGGCCTTTGCCCAACGATGTCAATAAAACGGGACCAAACAATAAATCCCAAACCAAACGTAACATTTTTTCAAAGGAACCAACTGATCCTTACTTTAACTAATCTCTGGTCTCTTAATTTAAGACATCACAAATAACTTTTAACAGCAGACCATATTTAAACATATTCTTTAACTTGGCAGTTCCAAACTGCCTACTCTTTGCAATAAACAAGATTGGGGAAGCCCCTTTTACACTTAAAAAAAAAAATAAAATAAAATACTATCGCAAACAATTCGATTTGAACCTTTAAATCGTTAGATACCTGAATACCTTAACACATTGGACCTGATACTTGGAAATATATACTTGTCTATATCTGCATCAGCGACAGTTCTCTACTCACCATTTTGGCCCGCTCTCTTTCTTCTGTGCTCTCTCTCCCCCTCTCTCTCTCTCTCTCTAGTAGCATACCTAAAAAGAAATAATATGAAATGTTAAACAGGAAGCAACTCTGATGAGCTAAAGAGAATGCAACATTTATCGCCTTTCTATGCGATTTTCACAAATGCAAGTAAGAAAGCAAAATGATCGCAATGTTCGTTTTAAAGGTACTTTGAGTTCAGATTTAGGTTTTTGTTGATTATCGAAAGCTGGCTTGATAATTGATGCTACATCAGCTCATCAGCTCATCAATTGGCTATTTTTAAAGAGAATATGCACACTGGGTGCACAATAATTTAGAAAATATGCTCTGTTTATTTATTGATTGTTATATAGTAAATATGATTTTGTTTTCTGTTAATGCAATTTCGTTGTGTTTGTTGGTGACTTAGATCTCATGGCGCAGGCCGTGATATGAGATCTGTTTCTGGGCAGGAGCACGCTTGCCGAAGGGGCTCTTCTCGTTCACCTCCAGAATGTAATCGCCCTTGAGATCGAAATCGGCCTCGATGCCCATATATGCACGCTTGCCAAAGCCATCCTTCTCCTTGTACTGCTTCAGTGAGTTGGCGGCAACGGCGGGGAAGTTACGCTCACTGCCTGGACGCACGGACTCGGCAAAGTAACGGGTGGCGCGCATAACAGCTTCGATAACATTCTCGGCACCGGGCACACCCTGCATGGGTCCGTTCGGGTAGAAATCAACATCACCGCAGCGCATGGGTGTACCCATGGCCAGGCTGGATGTGTGAATGACATCAACGAAGTCGGCATCGCCGCGCGATAGACCAACAAGGTTGTCACGATACTTCGCCAGAAGCTTGGCAGGATCCAGACCAGAGATGCGACGCAACTTGTGGCCAGTGTGAGCGGTAAACTCCTGACCAGTAGCACCAGCAACATGGGCAGCAATACCCTGTCCAATCACATGGATAATCTCATGGGGCACACCCTTGTTGGTCAGTTCAATCAGAGTCTGGGCGATCATGGCGCCGGTGCTGGCCACATCGAGCATGGCGTAGCGCTTGAAGTTGGTCAGAGTGGCGCCCAAGTCGATGATCTACAAGATAAGGGATTGTTAATTCCCAATATAATAATGTTACAGTTAAACGATGCTTACGATCAAATTGCCGCCGGTGGTTTTGGCTGATTTCCACTCCTGGGATGACTCCTCGCTGGAGGTGGTCTCGTATTCCTTGTTCTTCTGGCTCTGTTCGTTCTGTGCATACTTCTGCTGCTCCTGCAGATTGTAACGCTGCAGGTAAGCCTGCTCCAGCTTGCGCATGGCCTTCTTAATGGTGGGCGTTGTCTGAGGCAAGCCAGTCAGCACAATGGTAACCTCATCTTCACCGAAACCGGGCTGAGCCTTGGCCTTCTCCACATAGTTGTTCAGCTTGGCCTCGACACGCTCGCCATTGGACTTGACGATCTTCACTGGAATATTGCTGGGGCTGGGCACAAAGTTGGGCGTCAGATCGTGCTTGATGTGCGCAATGTGATCTATATGTATTCGAGAGATTCAATTAGTCTCAGATTACAGCATGTAAGCTTCAAGGCACCTACAGAGTTTCTCCATCAACTGGGCACCCTTTTGCAGTGGCATGTTCTCCAAACGCTCAAAGGAGATATCGTTCAATGATGGCACATTCTCCAGCTCATTGGCAGACAGCCACTTGGTGGGCTTTAGCTGATCCTTGGAGGCACAGGCGGCCGCAATCAGGCATGCCAGCAGGCACAGTCTCAGGCTCATAATGCAGGCTTTTTGAGTAATAGCTACAGATGAATAAGGTGTCCAAACGTTGATCGGCGTTTGATACCTGCTGCCCATCAGCATTTGCCTTTTATAGCCCCGGTAAAGTCGACGCCGGTGTCAAATTGTTGCTGCCGCTTATTTGCATTTTTGCTGATCTTGGCAAGCGTGTGTGTCGCAAAGCTCAACCAGACCCAAAAACTGTTTAAGTTTGCAAGCCATACAGCAACAATACAACAGCAACAAGCTCGTTCTTATCGCGGTGCCCTTGGAAACCCATATTTAGTTTTTTGAACCCGCCAATCGTTTGTAATCGGCACTGATTACAAAATTGCAACGCATCCTGCAACATAGTTGTGCAAGGAGTGTGACCACATTTCGATTGACAACATATCGATAACAAATGACTATCGTCGCCGCCGATAAGCCAAGCACTACGATAAAATTTCAGTTGGGATTAAACCTAATTTCCCTTCTGGAGGGCATTCATTTAAAATATGTCTATATATACATCTGCACTGATAAATACGGCATATTTTATTCATAAAAAATAACGCTGATTTTTGTATATATTGATATATATGTATGCGTTCATGCATTCAATTGCACGCTAAGCTTCTGACTCGTTTTGCTTGTCTAAACAAAAATTGATTTGCCTCAGCTATTTCTTATATGATAATAAGCGTATATTGTTCAAATTGCATAACATTTAAGAATGGGAGAATGTCTTTAACATGACTGATATAAATATGTAGAAATACTTTCTTTATAATTAAAGCAAATCCAGATGCTAAGCCAGCAATAATCATATTTATTTGACGTCTATTTTCAGGAAATCAGTTAAAAGTTTTAGTTAAAGAATTGCCACAGAATTTAACCTGGATCAGATGTGAATACAAACATGATTTCTTTAGAACAATGCGCCCCTTTAAATCCGACTGGTAGATTATACTTATATGCTATATGCATTTGGAATGCCCGTGTAAATCAGTTCATTCAGTATATATAAATTGATTGGTTTATTTAGTCGTATCTAGATTAAAACTATAACAAATCTACAAAACACGCTTACTGATGTTTGTGTAGCCAATGCCAACGCAGGTCATTAGCACCTTTTGCGCGCCACGCATATCATCCTGCTCGTCTTCATCGGCCTCGGGGTTCTCTAGCTTGAATGTGATTGAGAAAAAGTCGCGCAGATGCTGTAAAAAGTGCACAGTATATGTGGATAGTGGGCCTGAAACATGAGTGGACAGTTGTTAAGCGTAAGTGAGAAATTCGATGTGTGTATATATGTATCTTGTGGTTAAAGCACCTGTTAAGAATTTGGAGACGTGCTTTTGGCCCAGGGCCATGAAGAGAGCGGCCAGCCATTGGTAGGCGGCATCACAGCAGCCACCACGATAGATTTCATCCAGGAGACGCATGGCGACGTCTCGACCCATGTCTTCCGGTATGGCTGGCGAGTCCTGCAAGACAAAGAAACTGGCATTAGCAGAGATGGTGATGCGATTAGGGTAATTAAATACTTACCGACTCTTCCCTGGTGTTGGATATGCAATCAGCGGCAAAGCAAACGCCGTCTGTTGTCTCTGCCAGCAGGCAGATGCCAAATCCTGGCGAATTGCCAGACATTTTTCCTCGATTTTGATCCGTATAGATATAAACATCAGGCAGAAACTTAAGCATACAACCCTTAGCCGACTCAACGGTGCGATTGCCCATTGCCGGTGATACCTTGCAGGCGTACACAGTGCCGCGAATACGCTTGACCATGCCCTGCTGCTGGAATTGTATGGCGCGCAGGCTCTTGCGCACAGGGCAGCTAAAGATCACCTCACCACCGCCCAGTGGTGCAACACCACGACGCACAACACGCAAATCCAGACCCTCGTCGACCAACAGAAAACGTTTCAAGAGCGACAGTCCAGCACCTTTAATATGATCCACCGAAGGCGAATCTTTGCTGTTTGTTACCCCACGCAGAGTACACTGCAGCGGCATCTTGCAAAAGGGTCCCAGTGCAATTAGAGCATCCAAAAAGTAACCAATGCCGCGCTGCACACAGCAATCGTGGTGCAATTGCCCGCCATGCAGCAGGCCAGGACTGAACATGACACTGGTACCAGCAGGATTTAGCTCAATTTTGGTGCCATTGGTAAGTTTGTCAAGTAAACGTATCAGACTGATCTCGTATTCGCGCAAACCGGGCGCCTGTTCGTCCTCGGCGCGAATTTGTGTAATTTTTACTGGCTTGCCGCTCAGACAGGACAGCACAAGACGCTGCTTCAAAAAGTTGCTGCCGCGATATATAAGGCAATTGCCTTCTTGTGCAAAAGGCGGCATTATTTGTTAATAATTTTTATATACACAAATTAAATCAAACAGTTCGTCGTGTTTGCACGTGCGTCCAAATTGTAAACAACAGAGATGTCACATTCTCAATAACCATCTCATCGATAGATCGAGAGAAATGCAACTCTATAACTCAACTCTATTGATATTTACAGATGCAATTGAAAATCGTGACTTCACTATTCGTTCATCTCTAGACGAAATTGTACCCGGTACTTGAGCGGCATTTTTTTATTTCGCAATTAATTTCCAATAATCATGTCGGACCGTGCGGATAAAAGTGATATGCAAAGTGCACTGTCGGAACTGAGTGCTGATCTACAAGATCAAGACGAGAACTACGTCGTTTGTCCTTACGACAAAGTTCATCGCATATTGCCTTCCCGTTTGGCCTTACATTTGATCCGTTGTGCTAGAAATAATGCTAGTATTAAATTGGTCCGCTGTCCGTTCAACACAACCCATATGCTGAAGCCCGATGAATTACAGGTAAGTATTATTATGGCTGTAATAAAGATATAATTCCTTACAAAGCCATTTAAATTAATTACAGGAACATGTAGCCAGCTGTGATTTTCGTAAGGTCTATGCTCGCTTCAAACATGCCGACATGTTGCCGCCAACAGAGCCAACACGTGCCCCAGTGATTGATGTCGTCGATTCAAGTGAAAACTGGGATGAGGAGCCACCTGCTCCTACTTAT